CAGTGTGGACGTGGGCGGTGGCAAGAGCAGCACCGGAAATGGCAGAGCAACAACACGGAAGGAGCCCGGGTCCCGGAAGCCTGTGGACGTTTTTACGTGACCGAGGGAGCGGCCTCTCTACTGTGTACCCTGCTGCCGGCCATCTCCGGCCACCCCAGCCCCGCTCCAGGCACCGGCCCTGCTGAGATGCTCCCGCCCAGTCCCTGCTGGGGACCCCCCCTCCCCCTCCCCCTCCGCAGGTCGGTCGCAGCAAAGTGCTTCTCCCATGGTCTCGGAGCAAGCAAACGAGAGATTTGGGTGAGTTTTCACAATTATGTGCAAATGAGCATTCGTATTTTCTCTCTCTCCCCTGGCTCCCCCGGAGAGAGAAGCTCTCCTGAATTTCTAAAGGTTGTATTATCTTTCCTCCCCCACCCCACTGCCGTGTGCAGAATACTAACAGAGCTTCGGGCTGGTGAGAACTCACTATGCATGGTTCCTCTGCTCAGCCCTGGGTGCAGATTCCCAGCAGCTGTCCCAGATAAGGAAAGGCAGCTCAGAGAGGGGGCGTCATCTGCCGAAGGCCACACAGCCGAAAACGGCAGAGCTGGGATTTAGGATAGAATATGCACTCCCCGTCACAATCTTTCTGTGGGAGCAGGGCTGGCGGGAGGGTGAGGCCAGGGAGGTGCCTGGCCCAGCCCAGGAAGGTGAGCCCAGACTAGCTGTTCTCAAAGGAGGAAAAGCCTGCCCTCTAGGGGTCAGTGCGGAAGTTTCCGGAGGTGTGAATTTTGACCCCCCTAATGGTCTGGGGGCACGGCGGGGGGCGGGGGCGCACGTGTCCGACCCCCTTTCACACACCTTGGACCTGACTTTCGAGATTTTCGAATGTGCTATCAGATATTCAAGCAAGGAGAAACCCGTACGTAATCACTGGACCCCACGTTTTACAGGTCACATGTAAACACAGTAGCTTGCGCATGCTCTCAAGCAAACCTGAGTTTCCAGAAGTGCAATGGGTACATCAAGGGAAACCTGTATTTTGTTCTATTCGGAATCTTTCCATGAGTTAGTTGCTCAGCAGTTTGGAGAAAGCACGTTAGGACAGCAGCACCCGACCTGGTTGGTGAACCGTCGAGACTGCACCCCTGTGTCCCTCTGCGTTTGCCGGGTCGCACCCACAGCCACGGCACTTACGGGCACAAGCATTGGGATTGTGTGCCCGAACATTTACATACCGAAGCACACGGTAAAGCGAGCACATAATAACTTGCCCTTTATTTCTGTCCGATGACATCGGACCTTGGCCTTTTGGACACTATGGTTGTATCGTCCATTAGCATTTCATTTCTAGAGAGAAAGGGCTCATTTCAGAACCTTTACTGCTTACTCTGTCCTAACAAACCCTCTCTGCTTGTGAGAAGGCGGGAAAGTGTCAGGACCTCCACGGACGGCCCTGTCGTCCTCTGGGTGACGGCCAGATGGCAGGCAAGGGGTGCCAGGGACCACAGGCCTAAGCTGGTTCTCCAGTCCAACTGTGATAGAAGCAAAACTTTATTTTGATCACGGTCACACGCTTAGGGCAGACTTCTGAGGTCTGAGCTTGGAGAGAGGGCGCTAGAGACACTGACAGCGGATCGTCTCATCACACAGACCATGCTCTTGACCTGGCACAGCGTTTTCTGGAACAGCACTCACACGTGGTAATTCACGTGATTCATGCTACTGCTTTGGTCATTTCTTGTGTATCACCTCTATCACGATTGATTAGTTACTTAACATTTTTCTCTCTAAATGAATTCATTTTTTAAAAATTTATTTATCGGGGGGAAGGCATGGGAGCAGAGGAGGGGCAGAGAGAGGAAGAGAGAGAGCATGCCAAGCGGGCTCTGCACTGTCAGCGCACAGCCCGCCGTGGGACTCCATCCCATGTGAGATCGTGACCTGAGCTGGAATCAAGTTGGATGCCCAACTGACTGAGCCACCCGGGCACCTCTAAATCAATCCATTTTTACAGTTAAAGAAATCTGCTTTAAAAAGGAGAGCTCAGGGGGCGCCTGGGTGGCTCAGTCGGTTTGGCTCAGGGCTGCCTTCCCTCTGAGATCTACTTGGCTCACTAGCTCTCCTCCTCTGGTCTTTGCTGTCCTGTCACCCCCAGCACGAGGCCTACCTTGCCCACACTTGCAACCTGTCCCGCCCCCACGGTCCCTTCGCAGTCCCTGCTTTAGTCTTCTCCAAAGCTCTGGCCACCGCCTCACACACATGCCTGCCCCCAGGCTGTGAGCTGAGGGAGGGCAGGCTCTCCAGCGACCGTGACAGCTGCGGGCACACGGTGGCGGTGGCGGAGGCCCAGCTAATGGAGCTTACGCACTAGCTGGAGGGTCCGCCTTCAAGCCACCCCTCACACAGGCCCCGAGGAACGAATATGGACGGGGCGCGGAGGTAGTTGCTGGACGGACCAGAGAGGTAGCTGATCAGGGAATTCTTCCCTCACAAGTGCGGCTGAAGCCTGAGGCCTAAAGGTGGAGTCCGGAGGGGCTGGGAAGGGGAGGAACCTTGCAGGTGGTGGGGGGGGGG